ATGTGGTCTGCCTATTAACTGTCTTTACCTTGCAAAACTCGTATGACATACACATAATATATGTCTGAACTATGGGACACTAAAATCTAAAATTAAAAATCCCATTTTTACATGTATTAAAATTAAGAACTTTTAAGTTCCAAATCATGCCACTAGAACATATTACGATTATAGCTAACCAGTTTTCAAACCAATAAAGTAATAGTCAAGTTTAAAAGCTTAACAAAGTCAAAGGACTACTCTTATTAAAAACTTAGTTTTCTCTGTTGAAAAGCAAGAGAAAGATGAAAGCGCAAGTTAAGATGTTACTCCATACCTTAAAGTGATTGACAGCTACAGATGCTCCCATATTCAAATGAGCTTCAGCAACTCTATCCATGTTAAACTGTAGTTTAATTGGATCATTCACATTATCTACAAAAGACTTGAAATTTCCAATGGTGACATCAACCTGTTTAAGGAATTTAGGGTCAGCCTTAAGAGCATCATCAGGCTGGTTAGGGTTAAACCTAGTGAATCTGTCACGCACGTTAGGTATGTTGTTGAACATCCTGTTGTCAAACAAAGTTCACCTAAGTATATTTTCATTATGTTAGTAATATTACCAATACAACAATTCAAAGACAAAATCATTTAGCTTTTAAACCATTATCATTAACTCTTTCTCTCCGTAATTATTTTTCCATGTTTCGACAGAATTCTTCATTATGCTCATTACTATTTCACTACCCTGTTATGATTAAGCTTCAATAACTTTGTCGTATGTAACCAGAAAATGTTGCATTTGGTATAGAATTAAAGGGAAATTTTTGCTCTTTTTATATAACACAAAGTAAAGTTTATAAAATTCAACATGTACTTTTTTTTTAAATGAGGTCAAATCAACGATGGTATCGTCAATTAGGAGAGAAAGAGTTAAATCTTGATTTTATAGCTAGACATCATTTGTGTTGTGTTAGACTCACCAAAGTACCAGACTGATTCCAGTTCTTCTTACACCATCTTCGCCAGTGGTCAATAACTTCCAGGAACTGCCAAGAGCTTTTCTGTCTCTAAAGTATGTTAGGACAAGTTATGGTTTAAAGATGTGTTTAGAAAGTATTAAATTATTAATATGTGTAAAACTGAGACATAAAATGTAAATTGTTACACCTAATACTGTAATTGTTTTAATGACAATGTTATAGATAGGTGTAACTCTGTTAAATGTTACACACAGAATTGTGAACTTCTAAATGAGAAATGTATTAGTTATTTTATAGTAAGACAGCTGTTGATCAAGAAACTGAAAAGTGTTATACATTACATTTTGACATGTTATAGATAATGTTTAAACTGCTTTAAGGCTTTAGTATAGATGCACCATTATAACTGACACTGTAGGCTGATGTATGGTGTACAGCATTCATATTTTATGATTCAGTAAAAAGGACTTCTAATGGATGCTAGCGTTCTAAAATGTAGAACGTACAACTGTATAGTTGACGCACACAAAACTAGAAAGACATTTAATAAGATATTTTTGATATTTTTTCACAACTATACTTTATTTCAAGATGTTTTACCTGTCAGAGATACCAATCTGTTGGAGAGTTTCTGTGAAATATGAAAACCAATAAATAAATGTAACATAATAATATAAAGACTGCCAAAACAAATAGATAGAGGTTTATTTATCTTGAGCTTTTCAAAAGGAGGATCTGGGCCACTTAGTTTCAAAATCTGATTAAGACGTTATAGAAATTTGGCAAAGAAAAAGTTTTTATTGCCTAAATGGATCAAACAATAATTAAGTTAATACTTACGCTCTTTAAGTACTCTATTGAAGGTACCAATGAGTCTTGTCCAGGCCTTGGACTCAGCACTATTATTGTCCACACGAAGAGTTTGTTCAATGAAGATATTGATCTTTCTTTCTAAAGGCTAGATACAAACAGGATTTGTAGAACTATGGTGCTAAATAATTAATTAGATAACCTTAGTACTTTAATTATACCAATTATTTGCATTTAGATCTATTATAATATTATGCTCGAATGCCATGTCTAATTGTCTAAGATTTAAATATTTCAGAACTTGTGCCTATTTATCAATTTGATCAAGTCAATGTTTAACATTCTACAAACATTAAATTTTACAAAATAAGTGTAAGGAAATCTTTCTCTCAATTTAACTAAGTCTCAACAAATATTTACTTGATTGACTTAATACTTCACTTCATGATTGATCTGATGTCACTTTGGATTGACTTAATACTTCACTTTATGATTGATTCAATGCCACTAAGTGATTAACTAAATATTACACTATATAATTGGCTTAGTATCTGATTTAATAATTGAATTGTTTGACTTTGTATATTAGTTCAAGTGAGCTAATTATGACATACCTAGATGCTATTGATATGTAGCTAGTGAATTAATTATTTTTGAATAAAATATATGTATGTGAATGACAGATACTACTAAGGCCTATGTGAAAGCCATATTTTAGAATGACTACAGCGCTGATTTTCTTTGGGTGAAAGTTCATTATAAAATGTTTTGTAGATTCGTGATTCATATAGTTTTAAATCATAGAGACAATAATTCATTATAATTAAGTTAATTACAGCATTAAAAACAAGGGAAAAGAAAACTTTTGTAAATAGATTTCAAAGCATCCTGTTTAATTCACATTTTGATTTTCCCAATAACAAAATACAATACACAATTTTGACTGTGAGCAAATATTCAGTTTCCTGTCTATCTTATCCACCTTTAATGTGATACATTTTTAAAGTTGAATAAACTTTATTATTACTGGAATGCATCATAGGGATGGTAAAAAACACTGAATGAAATGTGAAGAGCAACAGAGCTAACTAGTTTTAGACAGTGACTTATTAGTTCCAGAAGTGAATATTTAGTTTCCAACATAGGCTTACTTGACCCAGACAGCAACTAACTAGTTTCAGACAGAACAAGACAATCCCAGACAGTGACTACCTAGTTCCAGTAAATTATTTAAAACATTCTAGATATTAGCTAATTGGTTTCAGATAGTAGCCATCTAGTTTAGCGAGTACTAACTAGATATTTGCTGTTTCCAGCAACAGTGACTACACTACCAGGAAGTGTTGGAAATACAAACATTACAAACTTTACTAAGAGGAAAAAGTCCAGACCATAACATAAGAGTACTAAATGTCAGAATGTCCTGACTTTGAAGATATCATTCATATGTATAAAACTAAATACAAATTGTCAGTTATACAGACAAGAGAGACAGAAATACTAAAATATTTGCAACACTTCAAAATAATAAATACAAGTCATTGGTACAATTTTTCATTTTCGACTTAAAATGAATGGTTAAAAAAAGAAGTCATTGACTAGAGATCACAGACAGTCTATAGAAACAACAGGGTTAAGATATTTAATATACAAATCATGATCTAGTGATTGCATAAGAATTATGACTGTTTGAGAACTTCGTTGAAGGAAGCAAACATATTAGACCAAGCTCTAGGTTCTTGGCTGTTAGGCTCAACGTTCAGACTTTTTTCAATATAGAGATGAATGTATTTTTGGAATGGCTGGAAAACATTGACACAATTGAATGTTAGGCTCTTATTAAAAAGTTAGACATAAAAGTGTAAGAAAAAAAATACTTTCTCAACTTGGAAAGATTCTTTTTAAAGAATTTCATTTCTATTAATTAATAAAATAAATTTAATTCTAAGTCACAAAAAAACATTTAAAAATCTGTTAACATTAATACAAAATATCAAACTGTTACAAACCCCCTCCCCCAACAAACAAAAATCTACCTACCTTTTAGATTGCAGGTTTAAAAGAGGCATAGCTAGAGTGGGGGGAGAATTTGAAAATCCCCCTGGAACCCTTTTTGAGGGGGCTTCCAAATTAGTGTTTTTAACAATAATGCAAAATGCAGGGGCCCCCAAATTGGTCAAGCCCCCTGGGCCCCTAAATGATGGAAAAATCCTAGCTACACCCCTGAGACTTAAGAGACATTAACAAGAGTAAATAAATTGAACCAAAAAGTTTTAATTGAAGAAACTTACTCCAAAGTATTCAAGTCCAATGCTAGGTGTCTTGTTCTTGTGAAGGGTGGACAGTCTCTCTAAGGCAGCCTGGAACTGACCAGGGTTTTCCACATTGTTGACCAGACTCTCTAGTCCGCTAGTAATAGCATTGACTTGGTCAATAAAACCTTTGTCTTTAACCAATGCAACATCAGGTTGGAAAGCATTGAACTTTGTAAATCTTTCACGTGCCTTGGGGACATTTTTCAACATCCTAAAATATATATAAAGAGAGAGAGAGAGATACATATTCTGTGCATATATTTTGGAAAGTTACAATTTATAAGAAACATGCAAATAATTATCTTACAGAAAAAAGAATTATAATGTCAACTACAGCCAAACTCACCAAAGAACAAGGTTAATACCAGCATTCAGTTTGCTACCAGCTCTGCTTGCAAGTTTTTTCCATGAGCTAACTATAGATTTTCTGTCTCTGTAGATACAGTAAGACATATTTTAAATCTTAATACTTTAACCCATTTGACTTTCAAATAAATTGTTACATTGGGTAACATTAAATTTGTTTTAACAATTAGCTTCAAAATGTAAAAAATGTTTCAATTTAGACTTTGAAAAGTTACTCACGAATCTGAAAGTCCAATTTTCTTGACTGAATCTGTGAACATGTGTATTAGTAGATTAATTTACAACTAGACAATTCAAAAAGAATTATTAAAAAGATTCAAAACTTAAAACAATAAAACTTGACAGTTTAAAAAAAATTAGTTAATTAAATGTGTGGAAACAGAAGTTGAAAGGACATACGTTCCCTGAGAACTTTGTTGAAAGCACGAATTAATCCAGGCCAGGCCTTGGCTTCAACACTCTTTGAGCTCACTCCAAGAGATTTCTCAATATACAGATGAATGTATTGTTGGAGAGGCTGGGATGACAGGATAAAATTTCAGATTAATGCATTGGGAATCAATCTTAATGTATAGTATTTTTCATAGATGTACTCAAGAGAATAGTCTAGACGTCATAAATAATAACTTCATGAATTTATAAAGAGCTCAGATTTTCGTTTAAGATAAACTAACAAAGTATGAGTAAGTAAAGTAACATAAGAATACAGCTCACTTCAAAATATTCCAAACCAACACTTGGTACAAGGTGCAAGTGAACATCCACAAGTTTCTCGAGGTTGGCCTGGAGTTCACCAGGTTGGTTGACACTTTTAACCAGAGAGTCGAGTCCTCCCACAATGCGGTTGGATTGGGCAATGAATTCAGCATCATTTTTAAGATTGTCATTAGACTGGGTGGCATCAAACTTGGTGAATCTTCTTCTCATGTTTGGAATATTTTCAAACATCCTGTTGAGGAAGTACAAGATTGAGACAGTTGAACATGTGCAATCAATGCAATCTTGAAGATGTTTTAAAGTGGTGTTCTTTCCACCCCTTATCAGGCCCATTAAACTGCCCTGATTTTGAGTAAGCTTTATGTTTCTGTAATTGTTGCAGTTGTTTCACTAAACAGATTAACACCAGCCAAAGGTAGCTACTTAAGTCATCATATTAAGTTAGAAAGAAAATCTATAAGAAGTCTAAAGAAGACTATCACAAATCAAAACCGCTACTCTTTCTAAAATAAATCCACCTTCTGCTGACATCATACTTCAAGTATTTAAAATATTGGTTTTGATTTTTCCTTTTTTCTAATTTGCTTTTCCTATATATTCTTATTATTAACATGGTATTTTAATTTCAACAGTCACTTTTCTGTGAGAAAACTTACCATAAAACCAAATCAACTCCAGCTTTTTCTAGACCTGAAACTGTCAATGTGTTCCAGGAACTGACCAAAGCATCTTTGTCACTGATGGCAAAAAAAAAAATAGATAGTGCTTTATTATTGAGCCAGTTAATCTACATCTACATAAAAATAATTAAGAGATTTAAGAAAATGTGACTTAACCAAAAAAAAAAAGGCTCAAACATGGTTTAAACAAAGACTAAGCAACAAGTATCAAAATAGATAGGAAAATACTCTACATCTTTTTTCTCCACTATATTCTGCCTTACTCCTCTCCCTACCTTATGAAAATCAAATGTTTGGTGAATTAATCAAGATATGTTACTTTACCTTTGACAAATGTGCAAATGTCAACTTACAATAAATCACTTTAAATATTTCATAGATTAAAATATTATTTATTTGTAGAAAAATAGAGCTTACGAGTCTGAAAGACCAATTTTCTCAACTGAACCTGTGAAATGGAAATTATTGTGTAGCAGATTTGAATACATATATATAGATTAGATATATGATTTAACAATAAGTTTTAAAATCTAAACAGATTAATAACGAAATCCACAGATTTTTGTGTATTTGCTATGTATCAAAATCTTTTTTTTTACATCATTCTAACATAATCATAGGATAAAATTGTAATAAATAATTTCCATTTGACTTGAGATAAGTCACCAATAAATCTTGTTTTTTTAAAGAGAAAAAGTAACAGATAACTTAACTTATTTTAAAGAGTACAACCGTAATAAAAAAAAAATTGACATTAAAAAATTATCACAGCATTTACATTAACACTCTACTTACTAAATTCTAGGATTGTATTAAAAGCAGCCAATACATTTGACCATGCCTTAGCTTTATCACTGTCAACAGCCACTCCAAGAGCATTGGCAATGTAGCTGGCAATTTTTTGTTGTAGTGGCTAGATTGACAAAAAAACAACACATGCAACTACTATCTTATCCTAGTATTTTAAGAGTTGGCAATGATTTTTTTAATAAAAAAAAAAAAATGAGAATGTACTTTTCTAAGTGGAATTTATTTACATAGTGCCTACATTTCTGATCCTGTGCGCATTTCTGCCAAATATGTTTCATTATGTTAATAAATAAATTCTAATGCATTACATTGATTTAATCCAATAATTGGTATACCCTTTACTTTAGGGTATGGGATTTTATTTCTGTGCAGTATGTATCAACCCTTAGATAAATCTCTATGACTTTTGTATCTTGAAGCGATTATATTATGGTGATGTATGTTAACAAAAAGTGAGTGTATTCCTATCCTAAGGTAATCTATATTGGATTATTTTCTAATTTTTTGTTAATTGACAAGTGATTAAATTCTATTGCATTAATCAACAAGTAATTTGTAATGGATAAATTAGCCTTTAAAATGTTTACAAGAAAAAATAAAAAATAAATAAAATATATATATATATGTCTTATTATTTTATTTAAATCATTTCCATTTTTAATTGCTTTCAAATCTACATTAAAAAAAATATTTAAACAACTTGCAAGAACTATAATTACCTGGAAATATTCCAAGCCAACACTTGGCTGCATGTTCAAGTGAGCAGAACTAAGTCTTTCTAGAGCATCAAGGAGACGTCCAGGGTTGTTCACATTCTTGACCAATGACTCCAGACCTCCAGCAATAAGGTTTACCTGATTGAGGAACTCAGCATTGTTTCTTAAGACATCGTCAGGCTGGTTGGCATTGAACTTTGTAAATTTATTGCGCATGTTTGGGACATTGTCTAACATCCTATGTTGTGAAAAAAAGAAATAAAAACAGATTTTTAAAAAAATCTATTGCTAATGATTTTAATTTGTAAAAATCATTTAAAAAATATTTGATCAAAATTTATATTCATTTTTTATACTCTAAAAAAAGTATTTAGCTTTACCAAAGAACCAGATTGACTCCAGCATTTTGTCTGCTGCCAGCTTTTTCAACAAGTCTGTTCCAGGAAGCTGTCAAGTCTGATTTATTGCTGTGAACAGAAATGTGAAATAAATGTAGTACATTCCAGAAGATATAGGCCTACTTATTAAACAATTGAGCAATAAATCTTTCAAACAGCATTACTTACTTGTCAGAAATGCTTCTCAGTACTTTACCTGTAAAGAAATATATGTTGAAAATCTTGATTTAAATAGAACCACAAATATACAATAATAAAAAAAAAAATATGAATTTTAAAAAGACCTATATCACACATCAAGGTCTGGAGATCAAAACTTTACAATTAGATTAATACAAAATTATAAAAGAAACCTTCAATAAACACTACAATACAATTTTTAACGCAACCTTGTCACAATCATTGCACGGTTCCTCAAGGGGCCATTACATAAATGGCATATCCTGCATAGTTAGCCTGGTAGAAAAGAAAAATGGCGGAGGTCCCAGTGTATGTGGATCTGATGCCCTGCCAGACAGTACAATGTACACTGTTCTCATTCAGACCAGTGAGAGGGAGTTCTTGTTTACTTTTGCTGGCCTAGAGTTCCAAGAGCTGAAGGCTCAACTCTATCTGACAGTTTCAAGAAGAAGAAGGAGATTCAATAGTGAAGGAAGTATTACCAGGTCATGAGAATGTAGACTTTTATATGGCATTTTAACCTAGTCTTTGTGTTGCTGACAGTTGGTGTTGCCAAGTTGTAGGTCCTTGGCTCATACTGTGTCTGTAGCTTGACTTTCTTTGCAATATTTAATTTACCATTGTCAGTCACCAAAATATAGTATTCTAGTCCTAGTATTTTTTAGAAGTTCCATGAGTGAACTGTAACTATATAATATAATAATATAATATAATAAATTTATTCCTGTAAATTGAGATTGAGATGTCTAATATCTGACAGACATAAATATTTTCATCTAAATGTAGTGAAATTTCTAATTTTTTTATACAAATAAATAAATAGTTTTCATTTTTCTTTAATATACTTACGATTTCTAAGGATTCTCTTGAAAGCAGTTAGTAAGTTTGTCCATGCTTGGGACTCATCACTATCCTGGGCAACACCAAGAGATTTTTCAATGAAAGCATCAATCTTCTGAGCAAGCGCCTGTACAGAGATTCAAATGCTGATATTAAATGACAATTTACTTTTTAAAGTTAATTTCATAAACATAACATTTCAGATTATTTAATGTTAGGTATGTGGAAGAAAATGTTTCCATTAGAGGTATTTGGACAGATGATGTTTAAATGAACTTTAAAGGCTAATAGTTTATTAGAATTTCTCATGGTCCTACAATGATACTTTATGAGAATATCAAGTGGTGCTACAATGAAAATTCATGAGAAATTCACATGGTCCTACAACAATAATTTATGAGAGTTGGTCAGAACAATGACAACCCATCTTTACTTTTCATAAGTCATAACAAATTCTTACTAGAGATGTGTGTACCTATGAATGCTCTAAAATATAAAATAAAAACCCAGTCTTTACTTGGATTTTAACTTGAGTCTTGAGACCTTTAGATGGTGCAAATAGCAAGCATGTTACTGCTTACCAGAAGTACAATTGTCAATAATAACTGTATAAATCAGATTTCAATATGTCCAATAAGTAGTCACTAAAGAAGAGCTAAAGTGAGAAAATGAAATTAGAAGTAAATTTGTAAATTCCACACCTTAAAGTAGGTGACACCAACAGTTGGCTCCATACTTAAGTGAGCTTCAGCAACTCTATCCATGTTGGTCTGCAGTCCAATGGGATCATCAACAGTATCCAAGAAAGACTTGAGTCCACCAATGATGACATCCACCTGTTTTAGGAATTCAGGGTCAGCTTTCAGAACATCATCTGGCTGGTTTGCATTAAACTTTGTGAATCTTTGGCGCATGTTGGGCACATTGTTGAACATCCTGTTGAAAAACAAGGCCCACAACTACAATAGCATATAATATTTGGCCTGCTAAATGTCTTATTACTTACACATTTAAAAGAAAAAGCCAGTTAAGTTTTAAAAAGTTAAATGTTACTTTCCCTTGAAGATATTCTTAAAATCGTAGCTTAAAAACTACTGATATCATTGTACAAGACTCACCAAAGTACCAAACTAATTCCAGCCTTTTGGACACCATCTTCACCAGCAGTCAATAGCTTCCAGGAACTGGCAAGTGCTTTTCTGTCACTATGGTGAGTCAATTAAATAGTATTAATGTAGTGAGTAAAAAGTGTTTAATCAATAAAATATTAATATCTTTTTAAGAAATTAGGGTGATTAATGTGTATGAAATAATGTTGCAAACTACTACACATGAAACTGTTAACTATATAAATAACACTGTAAAATGTTACACATTATAGCGTCAATTGTTACATGGGACACTGGAAGCTGATGTTCATCAGCATTCAGACATTTTGGTAAAAAAAAAAGAAAACTGCTAATGAATACTAAGTATCAAAATAAAGATTTCAAAGATCATTTTACATGAATAGTAGTAATCCAATGAATATATAAATATATATTGAAAAGCACTTTAACATTACTTCAAAAAATAAATACACTTTAAGACAAGTTTATACCTGTCAGAGATACCAATCTGTTGGAGGGCTTCTGTGAAGTATAAAAACCAATAAATAAAATTAATAAAATTATATACCAAATACAAAAATGATAATAAACAGCTACACCTTACAGGATTTAAAAGGAAAGTTTTGATCCTGTGAAGCCTTAACTTTAAAGAAGTTTAATAATGATGAGAAATAGGCCTACATAGCTACACAATGGTAAAAATCTAATACACAAAATAAAGTTTCAATAGTCTAGAATCTAGATTGATCACTTATTAATCAAGTTAAAACAACACTTACGTTCCTT